TGGGCTCAAGTGATTCTCCTGACTTAGCTTCCCGAGTAGCTGGGATTACAGGTGCACACCACCACACCCAGCTAATTTTGTATTTTTAGTGGAGACAAGGTTTCTCCATGTTGGTCAGGCTGGTTGCGAACTCCCGACCTCAGACAATCCACCAGTCTCGGCCTCCCAAAGTGCTGGGATTACAGGCATGAGTCACTGTGCTTGGCCTGTTTAATTAAAAAAAAAAATATTTTGCATTGTGAAATATAATACACATACAGAAGAATACATGAAAGAAAAGTAAAAAGCTTAATTATTCCAAAGCGAGGATCTATGGCCTGGTTGCAGTGGTTCATGGGTATAATTCCAGTACTTTGGGAGGCCGAGGTGGGTGGACCACTTGAGATCAGGAGTTTGAGACTAGCCTGGCTAATATGGTGAAAACTCGTCCCTACTAAGAATAAAAAAAATGCGGGCACAGTGGCTCACGCCTGTAATCCCAGCACTGTGGGAGGGCGAGGTGGGCAGATTACGAGGTCAGGAGTTCGAGACCAGCCTGGCCAACAAGGTGAAACCTCGTCTCTACTAAAAATAGAAAAATTAGCAGGGCATGGTGGCTCGGGCCTGTAGACCCAGATATTCGGGAGGCTGAGGCAGGCGAATCACTTGAAACCGGGAGGTGGAGGTTGCAGTGAGCCGAGATCGCACCACTGCACTCCAGCCCTGGCGACAGAGTGAGACTCCATCTCAAAAAAAAAAAAAAATGCTCACATACTTTGGGAGGCCTAGGCGTGCAGGTCACCTGAGGTAAGGAGTTCGAGACCAGCCTGACAAACATGATGAAACCCCGTGTCTACTGAAAATACAAAAATTAGCTAGGTGTGGTGGTGGGCACCTGTAATCTCAGCTACTCGGAGCTTGAGACAGGAGAATTGCTTGAACTTGGGAGAATGAGGTTGCAGTGAGCTGAGATCATGCCAGTGCACTCCAACCTGGGAGACAGAGCGAGACTCCTCAAAAAAGAAAAATAAAAAAACAACAACAAAAAAATTCTATGAAACTTCCTCTAGGTCCAGAAACAGAAAACTGTTACTGTCTAGAAATCCTCTTCATTTTCCTTCCTGATTACTAACACCCTTTTCCCTCCCTATCCCCTACGAAAAGATAACCACTATCCTAAAAACTATAGTTTTTATAATTCCTGGTTTGATTTTCTTTATAATTATACCACCTAAATATGCAACCTCAAATACAATAGTTTTTTGAGTTTCATACAAATGGAATCATACAGTATGTATATTTTTGTGTTTGGCTTTCTTTATTGAACATAATGTGAGAAATATGCATGTTGTATAACAATATTCATTTTCATTCTGCATAGAAAACATATTTATACTCATTTAAACAAATGGAATATTCTTTTTTTTTTTTTTTTGAATTTCATTTTTATCCATTCTGCTCTTGATGGACCTTTGGGTTACTTAACTTTTTTTGTTGTTGTTATAAAAAGACGGGGTTTCACCATGTTGGTCAGACTGGTCTTGAGCTCCCGACCTCAGCTGATCTGCCCGCCTTGGCCTCCAAAGTGCTTGGATTACAGGCATGAGCCACCACGCCTGGCCGGGTTACTTAACTTTTAAAAAGTATGTATCTTTTTGTCTCTCCAGCTACAATGCAAGTTTCTTGAGGGCAGGGACCATATACTATACTATTTTGTATTTATCTTAGTATTAATATTTGGCATAACACTAAGCATATAATGAGTGTCCTCAATCACATTAAATATTGATTAATCTATTGATAGTTTGAGAGATAAGAAAAAAATAAGTATAGTTGGAAATCAATTTAATATTTTTAGAGATACTTATGTAACTGGCATTTTGTAACTACTACTGCTTAAATAAATCACAAGGTTTGACCTCTTCTATTCATTTACACCTAAGGACTTATCATCCCTTATTCTTCCTGAGCCAAATGAAAGCTAAATATTTGTTAACATCCTCAAAAATAAAATTAGAGCAATTCAAAAGGTGGTTAATTGTTATGTACTCTTATTATTATAATTTTTTTTTGAGGCGTTGCTCTGTCATTCAGGTTGGAGTGCAGTGGCACAATCTTGGCTCACTGCAACCTCGACCTCCCAGGCTCAAGCAATCCTCCTACTTCAGCCTCCTGAGTACTAGGACTACAGACATGTGCCACCATGCCCAGCTAATTTTTCTTTGTTTAAAATTTTTTGTAGAGATGGGGTCTCACTATGTTGCCCAGGCTGGTCTTGAACTCCCGGGCTCAAGAAATCCTCTCCCCTTGGCCTCCCAAGTGTTGGGATTACAGGCATAAGCTACTGCGTCCGGCCATCTGCTCATTTTATACAGTATCTCACCAGTATGTTAAGTTGGTGCTATTATGCTATTATGGCCATAGCTCTTAATGAGCTCCTTTATTTTTTATTTTATTTCCTAAAATTTATATTAACCATTATAAACACATGAAGACAAGTCCAGAAGCAAAAATTCCAGTGCATACAGTCAGCAGGAAATTAATCATTCCTATTCAAAGCTAAAACCAAATAGCTTTTAGTTCTATATACTCTTTGAATACAGTCAGTGACTGTTTCCTAGGCAATGCATAAACATCTCAAAACAGTATTTATACCACCTAATCTTCAGTTCTATTCTGACATTCTCTTGGAGAGCTGCCTTTGTCTTTTCATTTATTTGCCTTTTATAAAACTGGAGCCTCATCAACGTCTCAACAAACAGGGAAATATACTTCTGGGCAAGAATTTCTGATATACCTGCATCTTAGCCAGGTACACATGAGCATGTCTCTAATATTAGTTTTTGTTGTTTTTTTTTTTTTTTTGGCTCATGTATCTTAGCATCTTCTTTTCTTTTTTTACAAAATTTATTTTATTTTATTTTTAAATCTAATATTAGTTTTAACAATACACAGAGTATAACTGGTCTTGTAAATTTTGTTCAAGTTGGTAATTTAGAAAGGAAAACAGTAAATAAATGAAAGGCAAAGTCTAAGCAACAATGGCATTCCCAAGTCAAAGAATTGATGTAGAAAAGAAGAGCTGTTACTACATGTATGTAGCCAATTCAATTCTAGCTAAATATAATTTTCAAAGCCAAATTAAATATTTTTAAAATCTAAAATAACATTCTAATTGTATATGTTTTCAAAACTAAGGACAGTAATAAATATGCCTCTTTTTTTTTGAGGGGGGCATTTATTTACTAAGGCTTTGCTGGAAAGAAAGTAGATTGTTCAAAATGTTACCTTCAAAACTTCTTCATGAGGGAATAGGGTGAGGAGAAAACACAGTAAAAAGTTACAAATGAAGGATGATGATGGATGCTACTAGTAGAGAAGCCAGCAAAATATTTGGTTACATCACAAGACTCAGGATCTCAAGACTATACTATAAAATGAATATTCCATTAAATAAGGAGAAATTTAGGGAAAAAAAGGAAAAGCTGAAATTATTTTTAAAAAATTTCAAAAATTAAAATAATCCTCAATTGTTTATATATCTCTATCTATATATAGAGATATTTTTTTGAGACAGGGTCTCACTCTGTTATCCAGGCTGGAGTGCAGTGGTGCAATCTTGGCTCACTACAACCTCCGCCTCGTGGGTTCAAGCAATTCTCCTGTCTTAGCCTCCTGAGTAGCTGGAATTACAGGCGCCTGCCACCATGCCCGGCTAATTTTTGTATTTTTTTTTTTTTTTTTTTTAGACTGAGTTTCGCTCTTGTTACCCAGGCTGGAGTGCAATGGCGCGATCTCGGCTCACTGCAACCTCCGCCTCCCGGGTTCAGGCAATTCTCCTGCCCCAGCCTCCTGAGTCGCTGGGATTACAGGCACGCGCCACCATGCCCAGCTAATTTTTTGTATTTTTAGTAGAGACGGGGTTTCACCATGTTGACCAGGATGGTCTCGATCTCTTGACCTCGTGATCCACCCGCCTCGGCCTCCCAAAGTGCTGGGATTACAGGCTTGAGCCACCGCGCCCGGCCCTTAATTTTTGTATTTTTAGTAGAGACGGGGTTTCACCATGTTGACCAGGATGGTCTCGATCTCTTGACCTCGTGATCCACCCGCCTCGGCCTCCCAAAGTGCTGGGATTACAGGCTTGAGCCACCGCGCCCGGCCCTTAATTTTTGTATTTTTAGTAGAGATGGGGTTGAACCATGTTGGCCAGGCTAGTCTTGAACTCCTGGCCTCAAGTAATCCACCTGCCTCCATCTCTCAAAGTGTTGGGATTACAGGGGTGAGCCACTGTGCTCGATCCAATTGTTGATACTTGATTTGTAAAGCTGCACAGAAGAAAATAAAAAATTATTTCTGTTATAAGGAATCTATTGGCCCGGTGCCGTGGCTCATGCCTGTAATTCCAGCACTTTGGGAGGCTGAGGCAGGCAGATCACCTGAGGTCAGGAGTCGGAGACCAGCCTGACCAACATGGAGAAACCTTGTCTCTACTAAATATGCAAAATTAGCTGGGTGTGGTAGTGCATGCTTGCAATCCTAGCTACTCAGGTGGCTGAGGCAGAATTGCTTGAACCCAGGAGGCAGAGGTTACGGTGAGCCGAGATCATGCCATTGCACTCCAGCCTGGGCAACAACAGCAAAACTCCAACTCAAGGAAAAAAAACAAAGAAACCCACCAATTGTTTATTTCTGTAAGAAGCTAATCACACATGTTTCTTTTCTTTTCATTTAAAGACTATTTCTCCTCAAAGCTGAAGGAGTCTTCAATGTGTGGGCCCTCTTTCTTATTTTAATAAGGAGTTATTTCATCTTTAATCTGACTTCGGAAACTACCAGGACAAAACTTTATGCCATATCCTTCTCTCCTGTATCTTCTAAAATTTTGGAGTGATTTTGTAAGTAAATACACTTCACATAATTATATTTCTGGATTTTTACCCTTCAAGTATTAGTCACTGTCCCAGCTCCTCCATCTTCCAGATGGTTGGAGCACAATTCTAAGACCAATTTAGTATTAAATATATTCCATTAGATTATTCCTAAAACATTTCAATATTGAATAGTCTTTGAGATAGCCTAGCAAACCTAACTGCATTACCTCTTTATCTTTTAGTCCCAGGAGCAATACTTCTTCCATAAGAGTAAGGCGGATATCCTTAGAGTCTCCAGAATCTTCATTGTCTGGACTTTTCTCTCGATTACTGTCTTCCTCTCTTTCCAGCTTCTTTTCGGAGTTCTTGCTTACTTCAGTGCGACGGGCCCGGTGAGTTAAAGTGGTCATTCTCACCTGTTTCTGGAGGGAGTCATTAAAAAGAAAAATCTGTTTGTAGGCTTATGTAAATAAATACAAATATTCATACATGCATATTAAACATGTATACAAATAGGAAATATTTACAGATTTAAATATAGAAAGAAAGGAAGGAGTAATGACCAGAAAAGATGGGTGGGTAATAATACAGTATCTTTTCCAAAGTACAATAGCTGAGATTTCACAGATAGCACTGATAAAATATAAAATGAGTAATTCTAAAGTCCAGTATAAATGATCATCTTTTAACTCTGCTGATTTCTTTTTTTCCTTCTAATTTCTTTCTCAAGAGGGAGTCTTGCTCTGTTGTCCAGGCTGGAGTGCAGTGGTGTGCTCTTGGCTCATTGCACCCTCTACCTCCCGGTTCAAGTGACTCTTGTACCTCAGACTCCTGAGTAGTTGGGATTACAGGTGTGCGCCACACTTGGCTAATTTTTGTATTTTTAGTAGAGATGGGGGTTAAACCATGCTGGTCAGGCAGGTCTCGAACTCCTGACCTCTAGTGATCTGCCTGCCTGGGCCTTCCAAAGTGCTAGGATTACATGCATGAGCCACAGGACCTGGCCATGCCTGCTGATTTCTTGTGCCTCATCTATAAACAAGGAGTGTATGTCCACCGTTGTCACTTCTCTTTCACAAAATGGATCTCAAGTTAAGAAAGATGGAACAACAAAAAATTGTGAGCATCCAGCCCCAAAATGCATATAATTTATATTTAATTTCTATAAATATTCAATAGTACATTATAAAACATATACAAAAAAATCAAAAGCAAAAAAGAATATGAAAACTAAATAGAAATACATGTTCTATATTTCCTTCCCATGCCTAATGACTCATTTCAAATACTCACCGTGGAGATCACAAGTCTAGAGGATAACATTCAGAAAACCATGTGTGGTAATTCCACAGTCAGTAAACTTCGCAGCTCTAGTCCTACCTAGCCACATCTTGCAAATACACAAGGAGCTGCAAACAAATATTACTGGGAAGAGAGTGTTAAAAGATTAACGAATTCTTTCTCAATGTTTTTTTTTGTGAGAAGGAGTTCACTCTGTTGCCCAGGCTGGAGTGCAGTGGTGTGATCTGGGCTCACCGCAGCCTCTGCCTCCCTGGATCAAGTGATTCTCCTGCCTCAGCCTCCTGAATAGCTGGAGTTACAGGCGCGTGCGACTATGCCCGGCTAATCAATTTAAAAAAAAAAAATCGAAGAATATGTCTTTTATTCTATGTACTACAGTCAAAAGAAACTGCACTAAATCATTTGTGATAAAGTTTATAGTTAGCATACTTTATTTTATATGAATCTAGATATGTTTTTAAGATATATACATCAAATATTTTAATTCAACAATTATACAAAGGAATATCTTTTTTAAGATCAAAAGAATAGTATTTAAGAGTTATTATGACTGGACTTGGTTCTACTCCTCTAGCAGTATTTCCCATTACTCCCAATAAGTAGTGGTGTCAAACTTTTTCTCAAAAATGTCTCATGCTTTCTTTCTGCCTCTGCTCCTCTGTACTCACTGGGGTCGAAAGGGAGAGCCTTTTCTCTTCCTCTCTACATTCTACCTATTCTTTAAAGGCCTGTGGACCCACTGAGAAGCCTTAAGTGACTTCCTCTTTTCTATTACCTATACGTCGTATGGCCACTCCCTCAGCTGTACTTTCACAGAACTTTATTTATACTTACTTCCTTTAAAGTATTTATTATAGTCTTTCTCTTGGTATGGCTGTCTCTCAACTGTAAACTTCTTGAGAACAGGGATATTGTCTTCTTGGGTTTTTCTATTCTCCATAGCAACTAGCACAATGTCTTTAACGTTGTAACTGCTCGATAAATGTATACTGATTAAAATGAATACTCAGAAGTGCATATGAACATTTAAAATAAAAATACAAATGAAGTGAGCTACAAAAGTTTTTTTTTTTTTTTTTTTTTTTGTACAAGGGTATATTTCAAATGTAATTTGTTATGGGAGGTGGGAAGAAGAGTGAAGGAGGAAGAGAACCATGAAATAAATGCTTAAGGGCACTAAGCCCATCTGGCACTGTGAATAGGGACTATTTCCTAAACAAATCCAAGAAACTTTAAACCTTCTAGGGGCGGGGGTGGGAAACAAAGGGGAGTTTTCTTTAAGAAATCAATTTCCCCTGGACATTTATTAGTTAAAAATCCTACTTGAAAGAAAAAAAAAAACGGCCGCAAATGAATAAAAACCCCTCCCTCCCCATAACATAATAATTTTAAAAATTAGAGATTTTTTGGGGGGGGTGGGGAAGGGACGATAGGAAATGTAATTTTCTCGTTGCTTACCTGATGTTACTTCTGGGTTATGGCTGGACGCAGGCTGTAGCTTGTGCTGTATTTTAGGAGAACACCTGTTCCCCCCACCCCACCCCCGTCCTAGTAGGTGAAAAACTTAGCCACGCAGAGAGCACAAACTTCCTGATCCTTCGATGCAGAGAAGGAATAACACATCAGCTTCCTCAGGATCACTAGGCAACCTACCTTGGTGTTTCCTCATTAGGCCAATCAGAAATCACCAAGGTTGAGTCCCACCAATCAGAGCTCATGGGGGGAGGCTCTCCCCCAGCTATTCTGTTGCGATCCAGACAAACACCACCAAAAGGAGGCAGGTTTGCGTTCAACCTGACAGCTGGTCAATCCAATGAAGGAACCTTGGTGGAAGAGAGGAAAGAGGGCTGCGCTCCCCACCCCCACTAAACTGGCCAATCAAAGCGCTGAGTGAGCTAACAAGGGCTGCCAATCTCGAAAGGTTTCTGTGGGTCAGTTTCAGTATAGCAGGTGTGCTGCTGTAGTACCGTATACTGGGACAATTAAGTGAGATGTGTTGGGATCCAAGCAATACAGCTAAAAATAAATAAATATTTTTACATTGGTTGTTTCTGACAGTCAATTTATTCTTGACTGTTCCAGAAAAACATGATCTGGGTCAGTGTATGGACGTTTATATGGTTTACCTTAAACAGGATGAATACGTTTCTACCATCGCATACCTACCAGCATTCCCTATAAGGCTTATTACTGACAAACCCATGGATAGTGTATGTTTTTGGAATATGGCTGCTGAAACTACAAGAGACAAACAGATCAATTTTTTTTTTTTTTTTTTTTTTGAGACGGAGTCTTGCTCTGTTGCCAGGCTGGAGTGCAGTGACGCGATCTCGGTTCACTGCAACCTCCACCTCCCGGGTTCAAGCGATTCTCCTACCTCAGCCTCCCGAGTAGCTAGACTACAGGCGCGCGCCACCCGCCCAGATAATTTTTGTATGTTTTATAGAGATGAGGTTTCACCATGTTGACCAGGATGGTCTCGATCTCTTGACCTCGTGATCCGCCCACCTCGGCCTCCCAAAGTACTGGGATTACAAGCGTGAGCCACCTTGCCCCGCCCAAACAGACCAGGTTTTGTCTTCCTTTTCTAAAGCAAAGAAAGCAGGTAAGTCTGGAACTAGCTACTAGGCTTCTCATGAAAAGCACAGCATTTTTCTCCCATTACTGGGTATATATCCAAAGGATTATAAATCGTTCTACTATAAGGACACATGCACACGAATGTTCATTGCAGCACAGTTTACAATAGCAAAGACCTGGAACCAACCCAAATGCCCATCAATGATAGACTGGACAGGGAAAATGTGACACATATACACCATGCAATATTATGCAGCCATCAAAAACGATTAGTTCGTGTCCTTTGTAGGGACATGGATGAACCTGGAAACCATCATTCTCAGCAAACTGACACAAGAGCAGAAAATCAAACATCACATGTTCTCACTCATAAGCAGGTGTTGAACAATGAGAACACATGGACACAGGGAGGGGAGCATCACACACTGGAGTCTGTTGGAGGGAAATAGGGGAGGGGCAGCGGGGGTGTGGAGTTGGGGAGAGATAGCAGGGGGAGAAATGCCAGATATAGGTGAAGGGGAGGAAGGCAGCAAATCACAATGCCACATGTGTACCTATGCAACAATCTTGCATGTTCTTCACATGTACCCCAAAACCTAAAATGCAATTAAAAAAAAAAAGCACAGCATTTTTCATATTACCACTCAAAAATTCTAGAAAGTGTGCTCAACTCTTCTTGCAAAGTAATAGCTACAGAAATCATCTAAAAATTAGTATTCCCTATCCTCCCATCCTCCTACCAGCCTTTCAAATTAATGGAGTCATATTTCCTGCTAATTAAATAAAAATTAGAAGCGATGAAAGGGCCTACATACTAAACAGTATTTATGCTACAAAAAATGCCATACTTTAAAAATCAGTCATCTTTTTGTCCTGTAAAAAAAAAAAAGGTTTAAAAAAGGTAAAGAACCAATTTTAAATTGTACATTATATATTATAATGTTAATACATTATATCAAAATATTGAAGAACATAGTTTAATAACACAATGACAAAAGAGTCCGTTAAATGGTATAATTTTAACACAAGTAAAAAGTGAATCCATACCAAATTTTAATACCAAAGTAAACATTATTTGTTTAGAAAAATGATTAGAGGGCCTTAACAGTCAGTATATATTTAAAGAAAATATTAAGTAGATAATGAACAAAATCAATTTTTAAATTTTACTTATTACAGAATCAATTATGACATTTGTACTTTTGCTTTTATTCAAAAGTTCTGTTGGATTTATCTCAAGATTAAGGACCACAATATGATAGTCAAGAATTTAATTTTAGTGTACAAACTGCTTTAAACTACATATACATTTTCAGAGTTAGGGAAATATAATACAGTATCCTTCGGTTTAAATGTTGAGAAGAACTTTGCGAACATGCAGAAGAAAACCAATTTTTACATATGCTCCTTTGGTTCACTAAACTTCCTCCTTTTTGGTACTGACTCTTGACTAGAATCAAAGTGATGGAGGACCTGTCAAAAGAAAACAATTATTAAGAATAGATACTTTCCTGTTTAAATGTCTTTTAGATTTTTTCATGTATCTGAGATTTCTTTCCTTTTTTGAAAAAATTATGCCTAGCATACCTAGCATAACTACTTCCTACTATGATAGGATATCTGGGTTTCCTAAAAGTAGGGTAAAATTGGCAGGGCACAGTGGCTCACGCCTGTAATCCCAGTACTTTGGGAGGCCGAGGCAGGTGGATCACCTGAGGTTGGGAGTTCAAGACCAGCCTGACTAACATGGAGAGACTAGTCTCTACTAAAAAAAAATACAAAAAATTAATCAGGTGTGGTGGAGCATGCCTGTAATCCCAGCTATTCGGGAGGCTGAGGAAGGAGAATCTCATGGCAACCTCAACTCGGGAGGTCAAGGTTGCCATGAGCCGAGATCGCGCCACTACACTCCAGCCCTCCAGCCTGGGCGACAAGAGTGAAACTCCGTCTCAAAAA